TATAATATTTTCCACATTGACATATGTATCTTAATGATCACGCTTTAATTTTTTATGTGTAATTTTAATTAGGTAAAACTTTTAAATTGTAACCTCTTTGGTATATCTCAGTTATTTTAATCTTTTAATTTATATAAGTTAATTTAATAATTTTATATAATAAATAAATACGATTGAAATTTTTTGATTTAAGTGAAAATAATTAACAAAATTACATAAAAAATTTAATATTATTTATGTATTATATAAAGTCATTTTATTAAATTTTATACAAAAATCAAATGAAAAAAAATGCAAATAAAGAAATATATTTTATTAATTTTTAAATAAAAGGATAATCTTTTAATTTTTTATTTAAAAATATTAATTTAACATTTTTTATTTAAGTATAATTGAATGATTAAAAAATTATTAACCACATTAACATCACTATTTAATTAATTTTAAACAGACAATTTCTTTTATGTCAATCGAAAACTAAATAAATTTTTCTTTAGGTTACAATATCAACAATAATTGGAGAAAATGCATTAAAGTTAATGGAAATTATAAAAAGCAAAAAAAAAAAAAAAAAAAAAGTCCAAACATGAAAATGGGACTTCATAAAATAAACTTGAACTCGGGGACTGAGACTGAGACTATTTTTTTATGAAACATCTATTTATTAGTTAATCGAATGAAAAAAAGAAAACAAAAACAAAAACAAAAAACAAAAGAAGAAAAAACAAACTCTGCAATCTTATTGAAACTAGATTACATCGATTTTTTTTTTTTTTAATATCCCACTTGTCAACTAGAATTACATTAATCGATTTTAGAAAAATACTAGAGTTACATTATTGTATTATAAAATTGAAACATTTTCGCCCATTCGAAACCTTCCCAAGAGCTAACCCAAATGTCCGTCTACTTTGGAATCTGTAAAAAGTTGAACAAGCCAAACTCATATCATTTCACAAAATTACATTAGCATGAATGGATATTTAAAAAATAAAAAAAAAGGGAAGAAAAAAAAATATATGAATTTATGTAAAGACACATATTAATAATAAATTAAATACATTTTTCTTCTAATAATTTATATACTTCCCCTCTTTTAATTTTTAATAGATTTAATTTAATTTGTTGACTCTCTAAATATAAATTTTAAATAAATATTTAATATATTATATAGATAGTTAAAAAAATTTTTATCAAGTAAAACTACTCAAAAATTTTATATAAATAAAAAAATTTTAATTATTATTTATATAAATTATTAAATTTTTATTTAAAATTTATACTTAAAAATAAAAAAATTAAATTAAATTTACTAAAAAAAAAAAAACTTTATTTTTAACAATCTACTAAATAATACGACAATGACAGATGAAAATGAGTCTAGCTAGTGGCAAAATATCAATTTCTAATGGCTAATGAGAAGGAAGTAAATTTACCTGGACCGCACTTAATCTGGCACTTCCGATCACATCGCTGCATAAGCCTTGCTGCAAGGAAGAAAAATAAAAATCCCTTCATCCTAAGTACCAACCAAAAACAATACCAAAAAGAAAAAAGGAACATCCCTCTCAAAAAACAAATTGAAGAAGTCAATCTAAAGACGAATTGAGAGGATCTGTGCGTAATACTTACTGTTGGGTTGAACGCAGGCGGTAGAGCAAGCGTCGTAGCAATCGATTTGAGGCTCGACGCTAGCAAAATGCGAAGAGATCACAACACAGAAGATCAAAACTGTAGCTATAATCTTCATTGTGGTCTACTTTTCTTTCCTGTCATGCTGCGGCTGGTGATCATTTCGTTATTTATACACATAAATGGTGGGAGTGAGCTGGCCATTAATTAAGTTGGGTCATGTGATGCGGTGATACATATCCAAATGGGCACTTTTTTGGAGGCAGCCGCCTTCTTTGAATTTCCAAAGTCATTCTCCTCCATTCATTGGATTTGGAAGTATAGTGCTCGGTATGGCTATTGCTACTCTACTTTAGATAGGGTTATTAGAATTGGCAAAATTTTAATTTAATTTAATTATTAAATTCAAAATAAATTTATAAATAAATATTTTTAAATATTATAACTAATTATTTTAAAAAATTATAAAATAATAAAATTATAAGTAAACTTAATAGCCTTAATAAAATTAGTGGTGCTCATTATCTTATCTAATTGATTGGTTCTTGATCCTATTTATTTCAATTCAACAATGTTAACTGGTTGAGTTGAATTAAATTATTTTTAAATTATTTGAGTCTTTAAAAAATAAATTTATCAAGAAGTTAACTCTTTAATAAGTTAAATAAACAAAATTTTTAAGTATATATGTCAAATTTGGGGTTCTCTTGAGCTTATAGTATGATGTAATGCTAATCAAATAATTTTATTTTATTTACAAAAGAAAATGTATTATTAAGAATTTTGAAGTATTCCAACTCATTACGTCTGCAAACACACAGCCCACTAACCCACAGCAACAGAAATGGATGACAACCCACAAAGGTAAGCAATCAAATAAATTGATTGACCTGAAACAGCTAATTGACCATATATTGTGTTAAAATTTTACCAGGGAAATTTAAGGATTGCAAGGAAAACACATCTCAAGTCATGCCATCTAATTCCAATTTGTTCAACTTCATCTGTTTTATCGTCA